GGCGGGGGACGAGGGGACGCGGCCCGGGCCCCAGGACCGGCGGCGCCGAGGGTGTCACGAAGCCACAGGGACCGCCGCCCGCGGAGACGGGCCCCCTCCGGCACCCGCACCCTGGCGCATGACGGGGCGAAAGTGCAGGGCCTGCCCGTGCGGCGCGCGGAGGGTCGCAGGACGGATGCCCGCGAGGCTGGGGGAGGGGGCCCGGGCCGGCCCGGCCCCACCCCGGGGGGTTAACCCCTCCTGGCCGGAAGAGGAAGCCCCGGTGCTATTGACGGGGGAACGGGGCGGGGGTGGGGGTGGGGGGACGAGGGATCCCTGGGGGGAGTGGAATCAGCAGAGGCCCTGGGCTCCAGCCCAGACTCCTTCTCCACGGGGAACCTCTCCCCGACCGTGGCGTCCAGCTGGGGGTCCGGGGAGGACGCACTGCATCTTAAAGGGAGCTCGGAGTCCCCGCCTGGCCCGGAAGTTGCAGGGCAGGAGGAGGTGCTTCGGACCCAGAGGATGAGTTGGAGGTGGAGGGGCAGGTCCACTCTGGGGACCCAGGGGAGAGTGGCTCTGAGGGCTTTGGGTCATCAAGACCGAGGTGGGCAAGTGTAAGCCTTTCAGCGCCAGGGCAGTGGTGGGGAGGAGTTAAAATCTGCCTCAAAAAAGGGGAAGATGAGCTCTCTGGGTGTTTGAGCTGAGCTGCAGTGGTGGCTGCGGCCTGCATTTCCGAGAGGGCTGGGCTGGGCATGTGGGGCTGAGGAAGGCTTGGGCAGAGTTGAGGTGTCCGGGGACCCGGCCCTCGTCCGCAGACGGGGATTTCTGAGAGCTGTGGAGCGGCCATACATGACAGGGGTCAGCAGGGAAGTGTCACCTGCCAGCCTGGGTACCTCCCCTGCCTGCCTCCTGCCCACCCTCAAAGAGAAGAGTGGAGGGAGACTGGGCGGCAGGTACCCCATGATGGCGTGTTTGGGCACTGGCTTCCTTTCCCAAACATGTTTGCGATGACCTCTGCCCAGGGGCTCCTGGCCGCTCACCCAGCAGGACAGGCTCTTCGGGCCCAGGCTGGGTTTGTTGGCATGATGGTTCCTGGCCTCCTGTCTGCCCAGGCTCTGGCCCTTGGTTGCAGGCTCCTGGTTAGACCTGGCGTTGACTTGGGCTCCAAAAGCAGGAGCGCAACGCCTGGCCTCGGGTCCTGCGGGCCTGTGGCTTAGCTCCGAGGTGCCGAGATCTGGGAGCTGTCTCCAGGGAGAGGCCGAGAGGGGACCAGTCGGTGCCGCTGCTACTCTCGTGGCTCAGCCTGGGCATCACCTCTGGTCCCCAGGGAGTCTCTCCTCCTAGAGCGTTTACAAAGCTGTGTTCCTAGGCGGGGATCCACAGGAACCCAGGCGGTTCCGTGTCCTGGTCGTGTCCAGAGAATGGGATGCTCTGGCAAGTCAGAAACGGAATCCAAGAGTCGCAGGTTTCACTGCCAGGGTCAGGAGTTTCCGAGGGGTGCAGCGAGGGCTCCCCTCCCCCAGCCGGGCCTTCATATTTATGACATAAATTTGCCACCTCAACTCACACATCCTAAAAGTGCAGCCTGGATTTTCCTAGAAAGAGGCTTCTCCAGAACACCCATCCCTTGTGGGCTGCAGTGGGAGTGCCCGAGTCCAGAGTTCTCAGCTCCTCCAGGGCCACGGCATTTCCGCCCACCAGTGTATGATCACAGTGGAGTGTCTTTCAGAAAGCAGTGAAGAGTCAGGACCCCGGGCTCTGGCCCATGCCCACCACTGACCTTCTGAATCCCCTTTGCCTCTTCTTGTGGCCTTTCTTTGTCTCAGCTTTTACCCATTTGGGTTTTTTCTACTCATTCTATGAGTCCGACTGTAAATAGAAATTGAGCTTATGTGTAAGCTGCTCAGCTGGCTAACGTGAGCTGGGAAACATCACAAAGAGATTCTCCAGTGCATCTGAGAACCCAAAACTCACTTTCTGAGTTCTGAAAAAGTTGTGCTGCCAGAAAGTAGGAGATGTTTTGCCCGAGGGAAACAAGAGGGCCATTTTCAAATACTTACAAGTGTAAAAGGCCGTCCAGTGGAGGAACTAATTTTGGGGTACCCAAGGGGTAGAGTTGGGAAGATGGATTTTTGACTCATTATAAAGCATTTTGGAGTGTTGGAGCTGACCCAGGAGGGATGAGCCAGCCAGAGGGCATTCCAGTCTGAGCCAGGGGATCCACCAGATGACTTTAGGGTTCCTGCTGACCTTGAATGAGGAGCTTGTGAGATCTGAGGCCTTAGCCAGGAAATGCAGTTGTGAGTGGTTCCAGCTTAGCTCTGATTCACAGCTGAACTGGAAATACTGAGGCCGGGGAGCCTGGCTCCCTGAGGGTCCTCCTGGAACCCTCCTTTGTCCAGGATCACATCCTGCCAGGCTAGGCTTTTCATTTCTATGGGAGCCTGTGAATGTTCTGGGTTGCCAAAGAGCAATGATGGTTCCTCATGTATGGAAACCATTTCCAAGCACTTCGTGAGCCCTATTTGCCAATTTTTAGGAAACCAAAACCCTTTTCTGCCATTTCACAGAAGGAAACCCTGAGGCCCAGAGAGGTCCAAGTGTCTTGTCCAAGCTCCTCCACGACGAGGGATAAACAAGAGCTGGGCTTCCTTCCTCAGGACCACATTCTTCATCTGCCCGGCTGGGGATGGAGTGGGCTTGGGCCCAGTGGGTGCCCCATTCCACCTGCACCCTGCTGGGCTTTGTGGAGTTAAAGCATACGTGGTTCTCCCTGCTTAGCTGAAAGCAAAACCTCGTCAGGGCACTCCCTTTTCCTCACGTTTCCTCACTGTTAGAGGCTCTTGGACCCTTTTGATATCTGATAAAAAAACAGAGACCCTTTCCCCAGAGGCGTGTACATACAAACAAAAATGTGCACATCCAGATTGTGCGCACTTTCAGGGGGTCTCCGAAGGCCCTCTTCGGCCTCCAGGTTAGGAACCCTCATCCGTCTTATCTTGAGCATCAGTCTTGGGCATTCAGTGCTCACATCCGAGGGGCTTGGTGAACAAGGTCAGGTGATTCCTGAAGATAAAAGGGAATCAATCCATCTCATTCAGGGGGTCTTCATTCAGACTCACAGGCTCTGAATGAGAAGCCATCATGTCCTACACTTTGGCCAATGGTCAGAGCCCCTGACCACTCTGTGTGGCCTTAGGCAAATTACTCCTCCCACCTGGCAGAAGACAATGACATCGTAACAGAACAAGGCTGTCCCCTCAGGTTCAAGGTTAAGTAAGCCCCATCTCCTTCAGCCTGCGTCTGGGGCAGAAGCAGAGGTGTCCTGCATGTGAACGCAGAGATGACCTTGGGCGGAGTTTGGTCGGGCCTTAATAGAGGCCTTTGGCTAGTTAAGCACAATCTAGAGATCTTAGAGACAATTTAGAGGGGAGACGTGAGAATTGTTAGAGTTTGAAAGTGGGTTATGGGAAACAGAATTACGGTTAACTCCTACTTACTGGGTGAACATTCACGAGTGTCAGTGTAGACGTGGCTCCTCTCCCGAGAGCTGTCGGTCTAGTTGGGGTGCACGGTGAGGAGTACCCATCCTACAAATGGGTACAGTTCAAAGAAAGCCAGAAGTTGCTTGCTGCGCGTTGCATTTGGGGCGTGGCTGACTTACCGACCCTCAGTTTGACGTGAACATTTACTACCTTGTGAAAGTGTAAACCTAGATTGTTTAACGTGACCTGCCCCACCGGAGGCTAGATACAGAAAGGGGGCTCTGGTCCAACAGAGAGGTGGGTTAGACCTCAGGAAAGACTTTCTCCATCCTGGTCGAGCGACTTCGAGGGGGCTCTTTGTCACAGGGGAGCTCGGGTGTGAGGTGGACACCGGGCTTGGTCACGGCCCGTCTTGCTTGAAAGCAGGGGGCGCGCGGGAGCTGCCCGGGACCCTGGGGCGCCTGAGAGGCTCCGGCCTGGCCTCTGCTTCATTCCCGCAGCCTTTTGGTCCGTGGCCGCCGCGGACAGCGCACCTGGGTCCTGGCGATTTTTGCCCCTTTTCCAATTCTGACTCTTCCTTCCAGTCGGGACAGTTCAATGAGGACATGATCCCCACCGTGGGCTTCAACATGCGCAAGATCACCAAAGGGAACGTGACCATCAAGGTGCGCAGCCGAGCTGGGCCCTGGGCGCAAGCCCACGGCCGCAGAGGGGGTGTGTGTGCGTGTGCACGTGTGCGTGTGTGTGCACGTGTCTGTATGTGTCGGGCCTCCGGAGGAGAAGCTAGAGGAAAGCAGAGGCTTGGGTCCGACCGGATAGTTGGGGAAAGAGCTCAGGTAGGCTTAGGAGTCAGGGACGTAGAGAGAGAAGGAATTCGGTGGGGCAGGCGGGGGGCACGTGGGAGCCAGGATGGATTGGGGGCCTGCCTGCTGCTGACACCCGCTCACCTCTCTTGCTCAGCTCTGGGACATCGGGGGACAGCCCCGCTTCCGCAGCATGTGGGAGCGCTACTGCCGAGGAGTGAGCGCCATCGTGTAAGTGCGCGGCAGGGCCATGGTCGTTGGCAGGTGACTCACACCTGTGTGCAGCTGCCTTTGCTTTGACAGACACTCTGGGCGCCCACCGGCCAGTCTGAGAACCAGAGGACTGACCACTTCCCGCTGAAGCATCTGTGTGTCCCTCCTCATCTCCCTGCCCACCCCCAACCCAGACTCACCCCTATGCTGAATTTTGTGTGACTTAGTGGTTCATTCCCTTGCTTTTGGTTTTCCTTTCATTGTTGGCCGTGCCACACAGCTTGTGGGATCTTAGTTCCCCAACCAGGGATTGAACCCAGGCCCTTGGCAGTGAGCGCCGAGTGCTAACCACTGGACCACCAGGGAATTCTCTCCCTTGCTTTTTAAAAATAATTTTATTCTACGTATATATGTGCCCAAACAAAAGATCATTTAGCTTTCGTTGTTTTTGTTTGTTTGTTTGTTTTTTGCGGTCCGCGGGCCTCTCACTGCTGTGGCCTCTCCCATTGCGGAGCACAGGCTCCGGACGCGCAGGCTCAGCGGCCATGGCTCACGGGCCCAGCCGCTCCGCGGCACGTGGGATCTTCCCGGACTGGGACACGAACCCGCGTCCCCTGCATCGGCAGGCGGACTCTCAACCACTGCGCCACCAGGGAAGCCCAGCTTTCGTTGTTTTTAATCTGATTTTTAAATTTAAATTTTTATGTATTTTTATTTTTTTATAGTTTTTAAAGGTGACACTCCATTTACAGTTATATCAAAATATTGGCTCTATTCCCCGTGTTGTAAAGTACATTTTTGTAGCCTATCTTACACCCAGTAACCAGATTTGTTTTATTATTCTTATTATTTAAAAAAATGTTTTGGCCGCACAGCATGCAGGATCTTAGTTCCCAGACCAGTGATCCAACCCTTGCCCCCTGCAGTGGAAGCTCCGAGTCCTATAACCACTGGACCACCAGGGAAGTCCCCAACTTGATTTTTTAAAAAGCATTTTGATGCAGGAAAATCTTCTGGGGCTTCCTTTGCTGTTTTCACCCCCTTGTCTAGCCAGCCCTGCCCTGAGAACATAAGCGGGTCACTCTGGGAAGGACTTAGGTCTAATCCTATGGGGCCCAGCGCTGCCACAGGAGCAGCAGCTTCTCCAGAGTTCTGGGGGATGGGACAAGGGCAGGCCCCAGCGGCCCCAGCAGGTTCTCACTCCCATCAGTTCAGAAGACATTCTCAGAGCGCCTGCCTGAGCCGTCCCAGGCGGCCTGGAGACCCCGGGGGGGCGAGCCAGAGCTGCTGCAGCTCCTTCGCCCACAACCCTGCAGCCTGTGGTGTCAGCTTGTCCCCACCTGCCGCCCCCCAGGTACATGGTGGATGCCGCTGACCAAGAGAAGATTGAGGCCTCCAAGAATGAACTCCACAACCTACTGGACAAGCCCCAGCTGCAGGGCATCCCGGTCAGCCCCGAGTGGAGTGGGAGGGTCGGGGGCTCGGCGGGAAGGCTGGGGACCGCTGGGGGCAGGTGGGGGTAAACACTGCTGGCGGCGCGGGGAGGGAGGGGTGCGGATGCAACGGGGCTGCGGAAGCCAGCCCCCTTCTCGGGGCAGCCTGGCCGTGGCTGCCCTGGACCGAGCCCTGCCCTCCCTTCTCGGCAGGTCCTAGTCCTGGGCAACAAGCGAGACCTCCCGGGAGCCTTGGATGAGAAGGAGCTGATCGAGAAAATGTGAGTTGGCCACTCTTCCCTGTCTTTCCTCCGCTGCTCCCCAAGCTCCCAGGCGCCAGAGCGGAGGGCTCGTTGCTGCTCTCGGCGCCCACCGCTTGGTGGCGCTAGAGCGCGCCTGCCCGAGCCCCGCCCTTCGCCCCTCCCCCTCCCCGTCCCTCTCTCCCCGACCGGCCCCGCGCCCAGCCCCCGGCCCCCGGCCCCTTGCTCAGTGGCAGCCTCAGCAGACAGCTCTGGTCCCCTGCAGGAATCTGTCTGCCATCCAGGACCGAGAGATCTGCTGCTACTCCATCTCTTGCAAAGAAAAGGACAACATCGGTGGGTCTGGGGGCGTCGCTGCGCTCGCGGGGAGGGGCAGGAGGGGAAGGCAGCCGGTGGCTCTCTCCTTGGAGCCCGGAGCGCCGTGGCTCTCCTAGGCAGGACAGGCAGCGGGAAGCCCCGATGCTGAGCATCACCCCAGCTCTGCCGTCAACTGGTGTGTGATCTTGGGCAAATTCCCCCTCTCCTTGGGGCTCACTCCCCGCCTGTGACATGGTAGGGTCGGACCCTTCTGGGCTGAGGGACTCGTCCTACGGCTGCGTCTCTTTCACCGCAGCCAGACGCCCTTGCACCCACCAGGGGCTGTTCGGAGCTTGACAGCTGGAAGCTGGGCTTGTGATGCCCTTAGGGTTGACCCTAGCTGCAGCGCGCCCCCTCCCCCTTCCCCGGCCAGGTGTGTGCTGTACCCTCAGGAGAACCAGCCCTGAAGCCCTGTAACCTCCTCTCTTGCCCCTCAGACATCACCCTACAGTGGCTTATCCAGCACTCAAAGTCACGGAGAAGCTGAGACTGCGGCCCCGCCCCCTCGGACCAGGGACCGCCCTCCGGATCTGAAGCCGAGCTCCCGCCCCTCCCCCCGCCGCCCCCCCAAGCCCACCCCTCCTTACTTGGTGTGGGGAGGGGCCCTCTGGGGGTCCCAGAGTCCTGTTCTGCTGAGGTTTGAACTCCCGATTTTATTGTAAAATAAATCGCTCCCCTCCGGTCCCCTAACCTCCCCCCTCCCCTCTCCCTTTGTCTCTCCGCCGCCCTGCTTCCCTCCCCCTCTGAAGCCCCGCCCCACAGCCCCGCCTCCTCTCCTGTCCCGCTCCCTGCTTCCCTTTCCCACACTCTTCTGTTATTGTCCTGTGTGTACAGTATATATATGTATATATATTTTGACTTTCTAATTTAAGCAAAGACTAAAATCAACCGTTTGATGCTGCAGGGGCCAGTCAGGATCTGGGGGGGGGGTCGGTCTGGGGAGGAAAGCAGCGGGCTTAGCCGGGGCCGGACCAGATCAGGAAAGGTAAGGCTGGCACAGGGCCAGGTACCAGCCCAGGCACGGGTGTCCGTCCCCACGCCCCGTGTGTCTCCACTTCCCAGTCTGGCCTGTCTCCGCAGTGTTTGAATGTCACAGGCTGACGGGAGCTTCCAGAGACGCCCTTCTCTGACCCCAGCCTCAGCATGGCCACCAGGCACAACCAGGCGCCGGAGACCGGGGGCGAAGGGGCA